ACACACACACACACACACACACACACACACACACACACACACTTCTAGATGAATTTCTTTTTGGAAAAACAAAGTCAAAGAACTTACATAGTTAATACTATCAGATAAATATTTACCTAAAGCTTTTTAATAAGAAGGATCAGAGATGTATCTTTTTACAATAATGTATACATAAGTATCCAACATTTTTATTATACCACTTAAACATATAGCTAATTCTTTCACATTTTCCTATACATTTTCAAAAAGAAATGTTTGAAAAATATTAGTCTATAGCAGGGTTTCTCAGCACTATTGACATTTTGGCTCAGGTAAATCTTTGTTGCTGGAGAGCTGTCCTGCACATTGTAGGATGTTTAGCAGCAACCTTGGCCTGTACCCACAATACCAGTAGCACCCCTTTTCCATGACAGCCAAAAACAGCTCCAAAAATTGCCAAATGATGGATGGGGGGACAAATTGTTTCCAGTTGAATACCACTGGTCTACATGCAGGAGTTATATTTGGAGGTAACTTTTATATAAAATATATATTTTATTTGTTTACTTTTGTTTTTCATTAAAACTTAGATAATTTATTTTTAAATTGTCACTTTAAAAAAAATAAAACAGCACCTAAAACTGATATGATGTTATTCATCAAGTACATCTCAATTTTAAAAAAAAACAAAACCAGTTAAACCAAATTAAAACATTCCAAACTAAACACAGCTTGTTTTTTTTTTTTTCTTTCTTTTACCTTTAAATGTATTTCCCAGTGGTTGATAAGCCTCAGACTCATCTTGTGAGATGGAAACAGTGGTCTCTGAGAAAAACATGGCATGGTTTTCCTTGGTGGATTCTATGAAGTCTGCAGTATTTTGGAACAGGTTTACAACAGAGACTTTCATATCTTCCATCAGACTTGTGGGAGAAAAGGAACTTTGCTCAGTGACAGCCGAGGATCTCCCATTCCCGTGTGCTATTGGCAAGGCTGTCCCTGTGTATGTTTGCCCTTCAGGCAGCCCTAGAGCCATGTGCGCAGCCTCAGTCAAAGCTTCGCCCCCTTCCATACCATTATCTGTCACTCGGGCTGTCTGAGACATTTCCATTCCAGTCTCTGTATTGCCTCCCAGCTTTGGGGTCTTTATCTGGCTTACACTCTCCAATTTGGTGTCATCCCACTCATCACTTACAACAGTGGCCGCTGGGACAGCTGTGCCGACAACAATCACTGTGACTTCTGGGGCTCTCAGCAGGCTGTCAGTTTCCAGCTCAACACTCAGGGTGTCCTCGGATGTTGCAAGCCCATTCTTGGTGGCAGTAGCCTGGGTATCATCAGTTGTCATCTGCGAAGGTTTCTGCACATCAGGCATGAGGCTTCCAGGCGCAGTGCCTGCTGTGGGCTCAGCACCAGGAAAAGAAATTGTCCTGTGTTCTGTGTCTGCTTCAAATGTCTCAGTCCTTGGATTGGTGGTTAGTATGTTTTTAGTATTCATAGGGGATGAAGGTGAATGTCCCAGACTAACTCCTTCCTGACTTTCAGTTGTAAATAACTGATTATCTACAGACTTCTGAAAACCTTGTGTTGCTTCTGGGGTCCCTTCAACAATGGGCTGAATGTTGGCACTACTGAAGGGTTCCTCCTTCTCATCAATATTCAGAGCCATCGCAGTGATGGGGTTGGTTACCATGGCCTTGGAAAGCTGGCTTTCAGGAGATGCTCTCTCTGGCTGGCTAGAACCAAACACTTCTTTCCCGGCTGGGACCACTGGTTCAGTAGCAGTGTCAACACCAGGGCTATGAGGTTGCGTGAGCCCAGCTCCTATAAAATGGGTTTCTTTGTTAAAAGGAAATACTTTATTTAATGGCGTTGCTGCTGGTGCCACTAACACTCTCACTGGATCTTCAGAGACCATGGGTTGAGGAGTGTACTTTGAAGTAACGGAGTTTTTCTCTAGGTCATCTGTGTCTATTCTCTCAGACTGCCCTCCTTTTTCATGAACAAGTGCTATCGCCTTTCTTTCCATTTTGGGGAAAGCCAGACATTGCGTGGCAAAGTTGAGAAGTAGAAGGCTACAGAAAGCCAGACAAATGTGCAATACAACTGATCTTCTCATAGTGGAAGAGAAACGTGTACATAAAATGGTAGAGTTGACAATTCCAGTATAATTGAGTCCTGCAGAAAAATAAAGCGTATCAAACTGTTGTATAAATATTTTGTAAATAAGCCCCTTTAAATTAAACCATAAGTAAAATAATTTCCTTGACTTCATGCTCAGAGATGGCACATAGGCGAGAACTGTTCTATTTCTTTATACCTTTGAGACATGGATAACCCAGTTCATTTTTCCCTGCTGAATTCTGCAGCTGTTTTAACTTGACGCTCTCTACAGTAAAGGTACACATAGTTCAAGTACTAAGTTCATTGTTTCTTAAATACCTACTTGAAATAAGTTACCCTTGAAATCACCTTTGCAATTTTCTCCCCAAATTCCTCTATTAATCATGTAGTCAAATGACTGCAGAAATGGTAACATGTCAAGGATATAGAAAGCAAATCTTACATTTACTTCCATTATATCCAAAGAACCTGTGAAGTATGTTTTAACACTTATTAAATGCCATCATAAAATACTGAACGCCAGTTTCATTCAAGCGTTTTTAAAATATATAAATGATTTCAATTAAATTCTGTCTTTAAAATATCTAAATTAATTTATTTCTCTGCAACAACTGTAAAAATTACAGGCAAAACATTCATGTTCAAAATTTAAGGATTAGAAAAGTGAAAAGAGTTAATGTAAGTAAGTGAATTTGTTAAAAGAAAAAACTTTTCAAGAGAACACAAACACATTTTAAATTAGCAATCATTGCTGAATACACATTATTGTAAGATTAAGATTTGTTGTATTTTTTTAAAACTACTCACACTGTCATTACATCTAAAACTATATCTAAACTGTTAATTTCCTCCCAAACTTAAAGGTTTTAGTTCTTTTTATTTATTTTGATGAGTAGAGCCCTTTCTTTTCTCAACATCAGAAATTTCTCAGGTGCTGCAGATTTTCTAGAAAATTAAACCTAAGAATGATAACTCTAAAATAAAAAACTTATCTTTATAAAAGTTATACTTTTTCATTCTTTCATGTCTAATCATTAAACTACCTGGTTTAAATATGCAACATGCACACTTAAAACATAAAAATTCACATTTTCATAAGCCTTCTTCCCTTAAGGCAGTCAAAGCTTTCACATGTTATCCCCTTTCATCTCATAGATCCTTTTGAGACAGAGAAAAAGTCAAGTCTTTAGTCCTAGAGAAAAAAGAAGGCTGAATATTTCTACATGAGGGAAAAGAAATCCACGGATTCGGAGCTGAGGCATCTTGCCACAACAGCAGCACCACATGAATGAATCACCTGGGAAACAGATCCTCACCCCAGTCAAGCCTTCAGATGACTGCAGCCCCGGCTGACATCTTGACTACAACTTCTTCAGAGACCTTGAGCCAGAACCACCCAGCTAATCTACTTCCAAATTCCTAATGCACAGAAATGGGATGAAATAATGAACGTCTATTGCCACCACGTTTGGAGGCAATTTGTTACACAGACATCTTAAATCCACCATACTTCGGGAGAGTACAGGAATGGGCTGATGTCATGAGGTGCCAGGGTGCCATGTGCAGAAAAGGAACAGCATATCAAGAATCATAAATTGAGCAGAAGAAAATTGAAGCCAGAGATAACTAGGAGAAATATAAGCCACTGTCCCCCACACGAAAAATCCTCAGAAATAGTGAAAGGGATGCTAAATCTCCCCATATGCAGGATGAGGATTTGAACCAATTACATTTAAATTCTAAATTACATACAGGTAGCTAGTATTGTTTTAAAACAAGAGAATACAGGCAAGATATTTGACAAAGAGGGGATGGCATGTGTTAAGACATGTCAACATTCTGGACTTTAGTTATCGCTATACTTTAGATGAGCCAGAAAGCATCCCAGTTCACAGCCAGGTAACAGATCTGGTAACAGTATTTGGCCTGCCGCCTCTATTTTCCTTCCTTAAAACAAAAATATATAAGAACTACAAAGCAAGGGTGTTCTCAGTCGACAATTTTTACACCTATGGATTCCCGTGCAGACAAGTTGAACTATGAAACTCTAGGTAGTCGACGATACATAAAAGCTAAGAGCTCTAGTTCACTTCTGATCTGTTCAGAGAACTGCTCTTTCTGAACAAATCTTGTTCCCATTCAGTGAAATCTTACTAAACATCCCAGAAGATGGAGGGTGTGGCTTAACAGCTTAGTTTACATAATCCCATGCTTCTGGATAAAACCCTGAAAAAAAAACACAAATCATCATGGGGCTGGCTGAGTGGCTCAGTTGGTTAAGAGCTCACTCAAGAGTGTGAGCTCTAAGGGCTGGCCCAGTCGCTCAGTTGGTTAAGAGCTCGCTCAAAAGTTTGAGCTCTGAGCAACAGCGGTTTGAGGCCAGCCCGAGTTGAGCAGCAGCTAAGCTGCCAATAGGTAGCAGGATGACTCAGCTGAAAAAAAAAAAAAAAAAGTGTGAGCTCTGAGCAACAGCAGTTCTATTCCTGAGCTGAGTTGCCATTCAGCTGCCAACAGGTGGAACTGGGATTCAGAAAAAATGACTCCTGAATTCTAGCTTTATTGTTGTTAAAACTCGCCATGAGATACTGGGCAAATGGTTTGCTCAGTTTCTCCTATGACAAAATGAGGAGCTAAAATAATCTTCGAAACCCTTTCAACCTCCATGATTCCATTTTTATATTTTATCTCCAGGACATAAAATAAAAATACAAATATTTTCATATTTCCGTTATTTTGCCATCAAGCAGACAAGGCACACAAATGATTGAACAAATGCTTCACATTTTTTATATATTCTGAAGTCATGTGGGCTGAGAAGAGAATTTTATAATCAAATCAGATTTGGGAGAAGGGGGCAAATGATAGATTCAATATAACCTCAATTGCCTTTCCAAAACAGAATTTTCCTTCCTGGTTTTGTTCTCATCTAGATCTTGAGCTTTAGAATTTTTATGTGAAGGGAATTTTGCAACAGCTCTAAAAGACTTTCCTTCTGTAATTAAGTGTTAGCCACCTGCTTTCTCCATCTAATTACGACAGAAAACGTGGGGGTGAACTGCTAGGATGAACTGCTAGCTTATTCTATGCCTGTGTATTGCAACCATATGCTCCTTCTCTGAACCATTCAAAAAAACATCTGAACTTTAAAAAAGCAGAAAAGACAGCCTGTAGAAATGGCAGCAGGGAACGCATCTGAAACTCAGATAAATTGTTAGATGACCTTTAAGTCCCAGGTCTTTCTTCATCTTTCAAAGCACAGTGCTGGTTCACAGAGCCATTCCTATAAGCTTGGTGTCCCCCACTGGGAGTTGTGTGACATTAGAGAACATATTAGAAAAGACTGACCATTGTCAATTCAACGATAATATTTCTAAACCTGAATAACCATCTGCAATCATATTTCGAAGGCCTTTTCTTTTATCAACTTTGTATCCCCTCCCTGGCAAGCACCTGGCACCGAAGAAATGCTTAGTAAATATTGGCTGAACAAACAGATGAATGTCTACAGTCCCCTTTATATGGGGGGAGGAAGAGAGAGGAGGTTTCATTGCTTATTACAATTCTCTGCCTCAATTATCTTAAATTAATTCCATTGTAAGAATATTTAACAAACAAACAAAAGAACATTTTTCTCTAAATTTTCCTTCACACTGTGAGTTTGGATGCTGCTTTCCCTTCACAACATCCATCAGGGCAAAGTAATTCAGATAAATGAATTTTAACCGAATTACTAACCAACAGTGGATGTTAGCTTCAAATAGCTTAAAAAGCATCCCTCTCAGAGTAAGTGGGTAGCACTTTGTCTATCATTCACTATCAAGGTATCCTAATGACTCAGCAGTCCTCTGATCAATTTTCTGCATTTCTGCCACCAGTGGGCAGATAAGCTGTTCTGTCATGCATTATCTTGGACAATCTTAAATACATACAGTTCAGAATCTCTTTCTTTGTCAAGTCTAAGCATATTCCAGTTTCAAAGACAAATAAAAGACAACATAAAAAAATATAGCCTTAGTCATCTTGTTAGACTTAATAATCAGTTTTTTTAAAACACTTGGTCACTATTTTTCCAACTAAAGTGTATACTGCTATCGTTCAGTGTGTTGCCCAAATGGAGACCCAGAAGGGAACCAGCAATGCTAAAACATTCTCAGCAGCAACGAAGTTACTTTTTTCAAAGTAAATTGAGTTCCAGGTATAATATATAAGGGATGTGAGCATTATTGCCCTAAGCGTACTTAAGACACAGGAGGGCTAGAGAGTATGCCAAAAAAACTGGGAACCATCTGCCTCGTAGTTTCCTTTTCTCAGTATAAACACAAAAACCATAAATAGCTAGTGTGGGCTTTCAGGAAGAAAGCTGACTAACAGATTTTCATTGTCTACAGGCAGTCACTCAGATGCTACCTGAAACACACCACTTCTTCATCTATTCTTTGGTAACATCTTGCATTCTAGATTCACTTCTATGGATCCTTTCCTCATAATATCACTTAGAATTGTCTCTTCTTGTCACCTCATTGGATTATTATTTTAATTGCCTCTTACTTGATGATTCTTTTCAGCCTCTCTCTCCTCTCCAATCCATTTTATACAATCCGGATGGTTTATTTTTAATAACAAAATTGACAATACTCCATAAAAAATGGCTACCATTTGGAGATACTATGTGCCAAGCGTTGTAAATGCCTTATGTAAACGATCTTATTTAATCCTAACAATAGCCTAACGAGATAGGTACTACCATTATCCCCATTTTTTTTTCAGATGAGAAAATTACAGACTTATAGAGAATATTAAACTTGCCTATGTGATCATATCTGTTTTTGAACTTGTGAATCCTGTCAGACTTCAAGGTCCCTTCCTTTGTCAGTACAACTCTCTGCCTTCCTAAAACATAAGTTCATGTCCCCAAACATACAATTGCCAAACTCCATATTGCAACTCCACAGCACTAGTGCCCAGCACAGACACCATCTCCAGTGGGCATAATGCCCTCTTCTGTGCCAAACTCATGTCAGGTTCCTAAGTTTTGCTCATGACACCGCACTAGTCAGAACTCCCTTCTTCCCTACTCCAGGTATCTAAACCCGGGCCCCCAGATCACATCCTGAATACTAACTTCTGTCACAAAATCGCCTAGCCCATTCTCTTTCCACTGTTCTCCCAGCTTCTCCGGCACAAATCATCATGTCTGTAAGTCTGGTCACCTCAAATAATATTATGTTCTTTGCACACAAACACTGATCTTTTATTTCCTTTGTTTGCCATATGATTGCTAATAATGGTAGGCACACAAAGGAGGTGTTCAATAAATATTTGCTGGCATGAAGAGAATATAAATAACCATTTAAGAACATGAAAAAGAATGTGCAAAGTCTCCATTTTAGGCTGTAGGATTTTCAGTGACATTTCATAGTCTATTCAAGTCTAATATGTTTTGTTCATCATCTAACCAATTTTGGCTACTTATTCAATGTGTCACTTTAATAATAGTAAAAACTTCTGCATTCTTATTTCTGCCATATATTAGGCTTTCAGTGTTTATTTTCTTTAAAAAAATAGATCAACAGTAACAAGTGACAAGTCTCAGAGCTTCAGGTCAACTTGCTTCCCAATTTCCGTCTCCCTTTTTAAACTCCGATCAGTGATTCTGTGATTGATGAATGGAAAAGGAAACTCTTTCCCTGGTTTGTTTGTGTCTTTATAATCTTTCCTTTTTGTGTTTTTCCTGATCCTCAATAATTAATTCATCATTGTTTCATCTTTTCTTGTTTTAATCCTGAAGGCCCTCATTGCCAATACTATTTCATTTGTCTAAAGCTGAGATTATCAAAACTCTGACCCTATTAATCCAACTGTGGCACACAGCATTTCTGATTCACTGTGCTACTGACAATTGTCACTGACCTGATATACTGGATATAAGATCTGGCCCCAGTCATCCTTCACTATAAATTAAATCACTGGAATGACAGATGAGCTTTTCAGCAGCATGTTCCACATGGAACCACAGAGGAAGGAAGGAAGGAGAATAACCACAAAGATAAGCATGGCCCCCCAGAAGGAAAATGGCATCTGTGCTGATTGGGAAGAGTGTAAGTAGGCTGGCTCAAGGTGGTTACTCTGGCAACTACCAGTATGGTGCTTTACCACTCCTGCAGACCACAACTAAGGTCCACTTGTGGGGACCACAAGCTTGATTCTCTACAATTCAGCAATGTAAACAAATGAAGATGTCTCTGCTCTTCACCCCTAGCACATCATCCTATCCCTGGCAAAAGACGCTAGGCTTGAAGATTTAAAAATTGGCTTCAAGTTCCAGCTCTCCTTTGGGCAAAATCACTGAAACTCAGTTTCCTCATTGCAAAATGGAGATAATACTCATTGTGTTTTCTTCCAGGGGTGGAAGAAAGACCCCCAAAAAATGATAATAGACATGAAAATGGTTTGAAGAAAAAGTTTAAAGTATCATACAATTTAAGACATAGTGTGGTACTGACAGGCATTCCCCTCAAACTGCAGAAATGTGAGCAATTTGAAACATTTGTAACATCCTTTTCCCCCCTAGCTATTTCCATAGCACCTGCCTCCCCTCTTTCAGTTTCTCATGTAGACACAGTGGCCTGAAAACCATCTGATGTTTGCAGAATCCTCTCCTCATCAATCTTGATCAGCAACCTCTTGTACATCCATCACACAGTCCTTTTCAATGACCTAATTTGACACTCCATTTCTGCTCTTTGTGGTTCGAAACCCTCATTTGCTTGACAAGATCTCTAAGTACTAGTTGACATTTAAGGAGAAGGTAATCCTCGGCTAGACATTTCAAGGAATAAACCTAATATCTACATTTTGAGCTGAAACTTGATTCAGACACTTTTCTTATAATCACCAAGTAAACACAATATGGAAAAACAGTATTGACCACACATCTTAATTAGGGAATGAGTTTCCATTTTACCGAGATTTAGCCCAGGTTCCCTTGGAACTGCCAGCTTCCTTATTGTAAAAATAAACAAAATTCAATGACCAAAAGTACAGCTCCATACACAACTTTTCAGGCAAACACCTGCTGAATAAAGCGTGAAGTACACCTTTAGTTGAAGAGTGGAAGTTTTCCATAACAGGTAAGCCCATCTTCCTCCTTGTGATGCTATACTTATATTTAGCATCAAACCATTTCTGTAATATCAAATTATGATGTTGATAGGTCTAAAAGGAAACTCAGAATATACTGGTAAGCAGCTTTCCATGAAAACAAAGGCAAATCCACATCTCCCTAATTAGCTCAGTTGCTGTAGCTACAATAGACTCCGCGAGTCTTGGGAGTTTTGTGAATAAACACAAACGATATCAAGTCTGCTGTGTAGGTGCTTGGCTCATTATTATGACAACTGTAACAACTCTACCTTATTCATAAGACCACTCTTAAATCTCCACTGTGTGTAAAAGTAAATAGAAATATTCTGATCCTATGAAACCTCACCCCTGTTTTGAGTTTCTTTCAGTAGATGCTACAGTGGGGTTCTGCCCGCAAGTGAGCAAGTCGGTCTGTGCCTCTCTAGGCGCTTGGCTTAAACAAGACTCCCTGGAGCCCAACAGCATCACATGTGATCAGCAAAATACACAGAGAGGAGGGGGAGGCGTGCAAACTGTGGCCATGCATTCTGCTCCCGATAAAAGAAATCCTTCAGAGCTCTATGGATGGTTTTGTGGACCACTCGCTCTTCCCCTTAAGTTTCAAACTAAAACTTCCAAAGAAAGAAGGCAGGCACTTAAAAGTAGCTTCTCTCCTCTCCTCATCAGCTCTGCCCTAAAATTAGGTGCCAACATCCTCGCGGGTCCTTAGGATCTGCTTGGGAAGGCAGATTTCTCATCTTGGAGAACTCCAACCTCTTAAGGGACCTCGGCTGCTTCCTCGCCAGCCAGGGCTCTCTACGTGTTCAGAATCTACACAGGTTAAGTTCTGTCAGAGTCCAGGACGCACATGCGACATCTGGGCACCTCCAGGCAGCGCCTCCCAACCAGCACTCTGGAGTCTCAGGCAGAGCCTGACCTCCTCCACATCTAACTCGCAGGCCCTCTTTCCAATTAAGTGACCTTTCCAAAGAGCATCCTCCTGCCGTGTCTTAGGGGGCCGGCTAGGGTCTGAGTGGGCAGGTTTAGCGACATCTCTGCACTAAAGCCTCAACTATTTGTTTTCTGCAAAGTAACAAAACACGTTTCGGTAGCCACCGCAGCCCCCATTTGCTCCTTGGCTACTGGGCACTGACTGGCATCAGGGACATTGTGATCGATGCTTTGGAAAGAGCAAATCACAGTCTTCGGAAACTTCTCTATCACCGCTGTGAGACTGAGAGGGAAGAGAGGGAAGAAAGAAAAGCCCACACAAAAGCCGCCAGCCCTGCAAGCTCCGCCAGCACAAAGGCCCGGTCGCTGGTGCGGAGCCGGGAGGCTGGGCTGGAGCGAGGAGTGCGGCGAGTCCTCCCAGGCCTGCGCGCCGCGCCCGGCGCTCCAGGAGATGCCCCTGCTCATCCGCACCCGGCACCGCGTTCTGGCGGGGACGCAGGACGCAAGCCTGGCGCTCCCGGGACTGCAGCGCTCCCTGGACTGGACCGTTCCCGGGGCGACCCCGCGCCGCCCGGGGCTTTGGAACCGTCTCTGCCCCGGCGCCCGGTCTGCAGCCGCGGCCGCCAGAGTGGCAAGAGCCGGGCCCGTCCTCACCTGTGCGCCTTCAGCCGAGCAGCGCGCAGAGAGCGGCGGCGCCGGCGCTCGGCATCCCCGCGGCGGCCCCTGCAGCGGTGTCGGCCGGCTCCACAGTCTGGGATGCGAGGGGGAGGGCGCTTCGCTTTGTTGCTTGTTCATAAGGCAGCGGCTACGGCTGGGGATTGGGCGGCAGGAAGATGTGCCCGCCCCGACTCCGCTGGCACTGACACCCGATGCGGTTCCCCCCTCCCCCCCACGCCCCTCGGCGCCCACTTCCCCGCCTCTGCTCCAGCGCTGGGGACAGAGCAGCGAGGGCGTGTTCTGCTCGGCCCCGAGCCTGAGACTCTTCCCAAGACCCCCTGCCCTGCTGCCCTTCTTTGTAGCTTGGGCTTCTGCGACGGCTCTCCCTCAGCGCCTCCGGAGTCTTACCAGGCAGCGTTTTAGCTAGAAGAGCCTGAATTTCTTTGGTCCTTGGTTAGGGCGAGGGGCGCAAGTCAGAGACCGCAGGACGTCCCTGGTGGGAACTGTCATGGCTTAGCCGTGCTCCGAAATAGGACCCTATGAAGTAGCCCTACACAAAGTGTTCCCTTCTCAATCACTCTCAATCACAGAGAAGGAAGTTGAGCGTAAGTGCTAATAAGTACGCTTTATTGAACCCTTACTCCTGCCAGGCACAATGCTAGGTGCTTCACTCGTCACTTCCTTAATCTACCAGATCGCTCCAAAGGTAGATTTTGGTAATCCCCATTTATCAGGGGACAGGGTTGAGGCTGAAGGCTAAGCAACTTGTCCAAGTTCTTATGCCTTAAGTGGCCACCGGGAATTCATGACCTCCATTCGCGAGTCTCTGAAGAACTCAGTTTTTTCTACTTCTCTTCTAATTGTAGGTAAAAAGAGGTATCCGGAATCTAAAGGCCCCTATTATAGAACAACCCCCACAGCAAACCACTTTCCATATACATAGATTATCTCTTGTACTTAGTAACTCCCTTCTTTATAATAGCTTACTCCCATTTTATAGTGATTTGTAAAAACCTTGAAATCAGAGTAAGGTCTTCAGCTTCGAACCCCATACTTAACACAATGCACCGGTATGTCCTGTTATCTTACCCATTCCACCCCTCTTTAGAAGATATTACCTTTCGTATTTCCAGAAAGGCAGTCAACAAATAGTTGTTGAATGGGATGTGATTGAATTGAACTGAATCTATAAGATCTGTTTCTTATGTGTATTAAATGTAATACAATATCGCACATTGTATTGTGACAAGGCCTTCTACCTGGATTCAATGCCCATCAGGTGGATAAGCCACACCCAACCTGACCAAGTTGCATTTCAACATTTTATGTGTAAGTCAATTGTTTGAAACTCAGACCATGCCTCATTAAAACAGTGTTATATAGTATGGTGAGATTCCCAGCTAGATCACAAAATTGGATCTACTTGACCCCAACACAGGCTAATACCAGTACTAATAAATAAACAACCTGATCGATGAGGTTGGACCAGAGGACCAAACAGAACAGAAGGCAGCAAGACGAAATGATTCCAGCTCCGGGCATATCTAGGACCAGCCGTACACACTCACAAAATATTCAAAGCTTCTTTGACACTTTCCTCCCTCTTGTTCTTAATCCCTGTCTCATACCCCAGTGTTCTCCTCCCTAGAGACCCAGATCTTCAAGTCCCCACTATAGAACGCCACTCTTCATATTTGCCTGACACTCAAATTTTTTTATTCTCCCAAATTACCCCTGTCCCATAATACAATTCCTATTTTCCTTTTCCTCTATACAAATTATTTTAGCTATGCAGTGAAAGTAAAGTGATATTGGAATTCATTTTTACTAGTCCTTTATCCTTCCTGAAATGGTTTGTATTGCTTTAAACAACTCTGATTAATGCAGTTTATCTCAACAGCTGCTGCTGGTACATGGCATTGATAATAAGATCCAATCTTCCACCCAGCACACACACACACACACACACACACACACACACACACACACACACTGTAAATCAGGGAACGTTGTACTCTAAAAGTCAAATCAGTAAATCCACACCTAATGCATGTTATTACCCTTTTATGGATAAAGCAAGAAACTGTTTGTATGCAGCAAAAGAGCTTGGTAACACCCAAAACTACATCCAAGGTAATAAGGAAGCTCAGGAAAACAGTTTTGGGGTTGCAAGATTTAGTAAATAAAAATAGAAAATCTCCATTCAATATTTGGGACATACTCATGCTAAAAAGTATTTATTGTTTATCTGAAATTAAAATTTAACTGGGTGTCCCATATGTTATCTGGTTACTTTTGCAATATGAGGTGATTACTTGGTCCTGGTTGGTAAAAACCTTTGTGTCAGAAAGACACTGGTCACCTGTAGCAGAGAACAGGACCCCCAGTTCCAAGAGCTAGGAGTGGACAATATCCATTCTAAGACCACCCAGAGGGCAGCGTCTTGGCAATGCAGAGTTGAGCATCACGGTGTCCTTGGTAAAGCTATCACTAAGTTGGGTAGAAATGCTTCACAGTATATCAACTAATTCTCTTTATTCTGATCCCCAAGTACCAAGGAACTATCAGACCTTGATAGTTCCCATGTACCTTGATTTCCCATGTATATTGCCTAGAAGGCACTGCTGAAATGAGATAAGTGAGCTGGGTTGCATGTGCCTATTTGTAACAGATCTACTTCTGATGCCTACAAAAACTGGACTTCTGGTCTTGCTAAAGGAGAACAAGACCTTGAGGGGGGCAGATGTCACCAAGGTAAGTGCCACTTAGGGGCTCACATAAGGGGTCTTGAAAATCAGCTGGCAGGATTTCCCCCAGACTGCACCACTGTTTCCTGGCATGTATTTTGTTTTTGTTTGTTTTGTTTTGTTTTGTTTTGTTTTGAATTGAAATTACACCAGTGACAAGCACATGAAGCAACAGAACAAAATGAAATGAAAGAGGCACATGAGGAAAAATCTTGGAAAGCTGTTTACCTGGGATGTCCTCAAAACCATTCCTGTCTTTCAGTGACTTTACCCTCCCTTTATTTTTGAAGCTTCTAAAACTCCTTCCTTGGATTTTATTGTTCTTATTGGCTCCCAAAGCACCCAGCAAAGATGGCCAGCCATGGAAGGAGACGGGCAGGAGCTGCTACATAGAATAGGGGTCATTTGCCAAGTGGACAGGCTTCACTGCAAAAGACTGTCTTTCCTTTCCGGCCTCCCTCAAACTTCATAAGTTTGTCAGCATCTCTCTATGTTCCCTGCCAAGCTGTTCCCTGACACTTATTCTCTGTTGGAGACTTCTTATTGTTGTTAATTTTTTAATTTGAAATTCCCAGGAGTCAACTTTAGTGTAAAATAATATTGCTAAGTATAGTCTACTCACTCTGGGTATTCAATAAATATTTGGTAGTTCTAAGTGATGATGTAAATAACGGTAATGATGTTAGAATCAGTTTTATGAATTCTGACAGATGTTTTCATTGTACCCAAAACCCTCAGAACACTTGACATGACCTACTTCAGTGCTAATGAGCTTATTAGATTTTTACCTCATACTAAATTGTTTTTAGTATGTCATATATTGGCGAGATAAGTAGGTAGGATGAACCCAATGACAAAATGGTTTTCCTTAAACAAAGCTTTGGAACAGCACATTTTTATACACTGTAGTTGTTTTTCACTGTTAACACATTAGTCCATTATATTTATCTTCTTTATTATTTAACCCTTATTATTCAAACACCCGGAAGAATCCTTGTTGCTTCCCTGCTCTCCCCTAAGAAATCTGTTGTTATTGTAGAAACAGAATATTATATGCTTTACATTCGCTTTTTTAAAAAATCTGTTGTTTTCTATATTCCTTCTTTAGGCCCTGAACTTTCTGATTCTGTTCTAACAAATGGAATTGTGTCTGTTACCTTGAAAAAGCAAGATAAAAGAGAAAGGGCTACTAAGGCAGGTACAGAAACAAAACTTCTAAACAGTACAGCCATTTAAAAAGAAACTTTTTAGAAAAAGCCAAGGGTGAAAACATGTACAAGAAAGAAATCTTATCTCTTTTTTTATTTTTTTTTCACAGCCATGAACAATGTCCTTGTGAAACTGTCTGTAAAAATTCTGTTTCAGGGATTTGAACATCAAAGGTCTGATGTCTCCTGTGGAATATACCCTTTAATCCTAAATGAATTGGTCAGCATGAATAACTGTAACTGTATTTAAAATGGCAACTATAACTCTAGAAAAGATATGAATTGCCTTTTACTGTATCATACAAAAGGGTCTTATCTCCATCCTTGTCTCTTTTTTTATATGCCTCATGGTAAACAAATCGATGACTTTAGTAGATCCTTATCTTAAATAATGGGCATGAAATATTAATTATTAACATAATGCTATGCATATTTATTGCCTACGTTGCAAAGAAAAATAGCTTATTCTCCTCTGCCTCTACCAAGGATAGATTTAAAGAAAATGACTTTACCAAGGAACAGCAGAGCTCAGGCTGAAGGAAGCACTCTTGTCAGAGACAGTTTTTAGAGACTAGAATAGATTAGTGAAAGAGGTAATACAGTCTCTTTTGTTTTAGGTTTCTAAAAAAGGAGGAACTTCATTCTGACTGGGTTGGGGTTTCTGATGAAACACCATTAGCTCCCTCAACAAGGAAATTATGTGGATAGTTGTAAATGTGGGAAAACTACCCAATATATTTACTGTAGCTATCTGCATTCTTTATTATCTGACTTGCAACAAATGTTGCTTATTTTACTTTTTAAAAATATGACTCAGGTTTTAAAATCACATTCAGGATACACAAGTATATATTCAATCTGCAGCACACTGACAGTAAAAACAGGGAACAGGATATTATCAATGGAGTATCAATACCATTACAATGAAGATGTACTTGGGGGTCGTAACCAGCAATTTGAACATGGGTTTGCCAAGGTTTAAGTATGGCACTGCATCAGTGAAGGAAAAAACAAAACCAAAAACAAAAAGCTTTCCTTCAGTGTGACAATCAATCCCGTGCCAAATTCCCCCTTCCTATATATTTTGCCTAATTCTTCTGACCAAACTGTCTTAGATGATAGCAGAATTGAGTCTGTGTTTCATAGTAATTAAGCCATGAGCAGTGTAACATTTAACGTGAGCTATGCATTATGTTGGCATTGAGTTT